CAAATAGAGAAATTTGTAGAATCATTGGCATTAAAATCTGTTAATTCTACAAGTTTGAGCTACAGTTCTTAAAAACTGTTGAGTGACCAAATTATGTATACTATATGGGGATAATATATATTTGGTAGAGTATTTCTTATAGGTTATATTCTCCTCCGAATACATTAAATTCGCGGAACATTATTGTATAAATTAGTATAACTTCTATGTAAATAAATTCATCCTTCAATAATTTTCTAACAAAAAAAATGAGGAGCAAGTTTTCAAAACTTATGATAAATCCACTTTTTCTTATGTCCCCAATGGGAAACTGCCACGAGTAACCATTGGCGTATTAATTGGCCCAATGATGGGAGCCAATGAAAAAACCATTGGCACCCAATAATGGACCATTATTGGTAAAGTCATGGGCTGTCCACGCCGATGCCAATGATTGGCAACCATCATTGGCAAATTATTGGCAACCAATAATTAGCCAATATTAAAAATTTTAATAATAATTTAAAAAATCAATAATTTAAAAATAAAATTTTTATTTTTATTATTTTTTAATAGTTATTATTATTATTATTTTATTTTTAATAATTAAATTAAAATAAAAAAATGGTCATCAAAGTATTAGTGAAACCATTTCTTCCAAAAAAGAGTTTGTCTCAAATCCAATTAATAGGAGAGACATCGGGTAGAAAAAAATTTTCGATCACTGCTTATATACCAATCTAATGGCACCTCAACTGCGAGAAACAGTTATGATGTTCTCCCTCTCTGTGGCGTTGAGCGAACTAAAGTCTAGAGCTGAGCCATCAGCGCAGCGCGGGAACAATTAAAAAAATTTGATTTTATTAGATATTTTATTTTATAATAATTAACGAATTATTAAGTATGACATTATGTTATTAATAATTATTAATGACATTAATTATTTATTAAGTTAATTATTTGTCATATTTAAAATAAAACAAAATATCTAATAAAATCAAATTTTTCAAATGTTCCCGCGCTGGGCTGATGGCTCAGCTCTGGACTTTAGTTTGCTCAACGCCACAGGGAGGGCGAACATCATAACTGTTTCTCGCAGTTGAGGTGCCATTAGATTGGTATATAAGCAGTGATCGAAAATTTTTTTCTTGTCGAAATTTTTTTCTACCCGATGTCTCTCCTATTAATTGGATTTGAGACAAACTCTTTTTTGGAAGAAATGGTTTCACTAATACTTTGATGACCATTTTTTTATTTTAATTTAATTATTAAAAATAAAATAATAATAATAATAACTATTAAAAAATAATAAAAATAAAAATTTTATTTTTAAATTATTGATTTTTTAAATTATTATTAAAATTTTTAATATTGGCTAATTATTGGTTGCCAATAATTTGCCAATGATGGTTGCCAATCATTGGCATCGGCGTGGACAGCCCATGACTTTACCCATAATGGTCCATTATTGGGTGCCATTATTGAAATTATATTGGCATCCCTGGCTCCCATTATTGGGCCATTAATACGCCAATGGTATTTTTCCCATTGGGTCGAGAAATTAAAACAAACTATTTTTCTCACTTAATCACTACAGTTAATTTTGAAATAAAAAATTTGTAATAATTTATTTCTATAATAATGTTTATATACTTAAGACGTTTCCTTTTTAATTAAACTTTCTTGCCGACACTATGATAATAATAAAAACACTAAATTCGCCTTAACCTCTCGCACTCAATCGTACTCAGCCTTAGTCGAATCACTGCATTGTTTTCGGGCATACGTTAAATCCTTACAGAAAATATCTGTAAAATTAACAGATTTAGGAACATGTAAAATCTTCAAATCGATGTTAAAGAATTACCAGAAAATTTTTTTCCGTGTGGTTGAATTGGTTATACAGTCTGTCAAATTGGCAGGTAAGTTAGTTAATATTAGCCATGTGAAGTCTGATTCAGACATCTTGCTCTGTGGAAGTACTATTCGTTTGGTTGGATTACCCAAACTGTATGGTAGTAACAGTTCCATGTTAATTCAGTTATACGATATGACAGAAACAGCAAGAATTATGGCAGTAATAACGAAAAATTTCTTTCAGTGCAGCCCCACAAAAAAAATTTTTTTGTCTGGTGAACTAGACAAATCATTTTTCACGTATTTTGGGTCGATGAATCCGTATCCGTGGTCAGAATTCACAAGTTGGTTCGTTTTTTCTTTCTAACCTCAAAAAACTTACTTTTTTGGTACATTTTGTGAGATAATGAAAAAGCGTGAGCTAGTTTTGAAATTATGACCATGGATTACAATTTAGAAGTTACATTTACTTACCATTTAAATATATTCTTCAAATTAAAAATGGCGGATCCAACATGGCGGATATTTTACAAATTGTTCCGATTCGCTCGAAATTTGGTACTTGGGGGTTTTTGGGTCGCTGATTACGACTCTGGCGTCAGTTTTAAAAAATTAAAAATGGCGGATCCAATATGGTTACGGTACCCTGGTTACAGAAAGAAGGTCATATATATATTTTAAATGTGAAATATATAAGATTAGTCATTTTTTCTCACATTTTTTTGAGTCATATAATACAAGGCAGATTGTCTGTGTGACTATACTATAATGCAATATAAGATTAGTAATCCTTGACTTCAAAACCTTTTGTGTCAATTTTGCAGCGGATCATATCAATTTAAAAAAAATTCCATTCACTATGTAAGACTCCCTATTTTAAATTACAAAAATCTTAATTTTTATTTGCAATCAACGATCAAAAACTTCCATGTACTACTTTTCTCATCAGCCATATTGGATCCGCCATTTTGAATTTTTTTAAACTGACGCCAGAGTCATAAGCAGCGACCCGAAAACCCCCAAGTACCAAATTTCGAGCGAATCGGAACAATTTGTAAAATATCCGCCATTTTGGTCCGCCATATTGGACCCGCCATTTTTAATTTGAAGAATATATTTAAATGGTAAGTAAATTTAATTTCTAAATTGTAATCCATGGTCATAATTTCAAAACTAGCTCACGCTTTTTCATTATCTCACAAAATGTACCGAAAAAGAAAGTTTTTTGAGGTTAGAAAGAAAAAACGAACCAACTTGTGAATTCTGACCCCGGATTCGGATTCAGCGACCCAAAATACGTGAAAAATGTCTATACGTCTAGTTCGCCAGACAAATTTTTTTTTTGTGGGGCTGTGTTCCCTACCGAAAGAGTGGTACTGGAATGGTACTGAATTGGACTTGGCTTGAGTTCCACTTCAGTACCACTACCTGATAACCCATAAGAAGACATTTTTAAAGTACTTTAACAATAGTTTTAAAGGTATACAAGATCAACAAACCGTCTCTCACGATATACGTGTAAAACAGCAAAAAAAACATAATAGTTTGTAGAAAATTTCTGTTAAGTTTGGAAATTATATTGCAATCCCTCCTTGAACAATAGACCCCTAGGTCCTTTGTTGAAAGATTACAATTTTAACCCGAGTTTTATTGCTTAAAAAATTTATAATTTTAATAACTCAACTTTAAAAAATATATATTGAGATTCGTTAATATTTCTAGATTATGAATATCTAAAATTTATCAAAAAATAATTACATTTAAAAAAGTTATAATTCATCTCGTATACCTTAAGTTTGACAAAAAAATGGACATCATTTTTTAATTTAGCTGCCAAAGGACATATCATATGCATAATAATGTATGAAAATAATATAAATCCAGGAAAAACAAATATAATATTGAAATAAATATAAAGTATTAGTTTAAACATATTGAAAAAGCTAGTCGCTTTTCACTTTTATGAGGGTTTTAACGGTAACTCGACCCTTTTCGCAGGTAAATTTCCCAGTTCCATTTCAGTACCAAAATGCACCAAATTAGTACTGAGTTGGTACTGAGCCCTCAGTTCCAATTTCCCAGTACCAATCCAGTACCACTCTTTCGGTAGGGTTATTGTAGTTTATATAAATGTGAAACATATAAAACCGATTAAAAATAAATGATAATTTTCTCCAAAAAAAAAATTATTAACGCCGGTTCCACCGACCTCTGCGTCTCCACCGGCATCAGAATTTCCTCCGTCTCTAGTGCAAGTTTAATACTACAATGAAACAAACGAAATTAAAAATATTTATTATGAACTATCATAACTCCAGTAAGCTTACTATAACTATTTTCATAAATTACCGAAATTACAATTTTTAATTGCGATTTATGCTTTACATATTTTTATGAATTATAGCCAACATTTCTATACATTACCGTATAAATTTCCATAAATTACCGCATAAATTTCCATAAATTACCTCGAAAATTTCCGTAAATTACCGAAATCAAAATTTTTAATTGTCGTTCGGGCTATATATATTTTTGTGAATTATTCCAAAAATTTTCATAAACATTTCAAATCAAATTTCAACTATTTTAAAGAATTCAAAAAGCAAAGAATTTTTTTTCAATCTGTTTAAAAAAATTAAAAATATGCTGTTTTAAAGAATAAATTTAAGGTTATGTTGAATAATATGACTGAAAGTGTACAACAAAGTATAGGTTGTTTTCGACAGTCACTGGGTGTTAGCACCATAGAGTTATTATAAATAGAGTGGGGAAGGTATAGGAGCCACAGTAAGTGGCGATGAGACGCCCGAAGAGAGAGAAAGAAAACCGAAACCGTAGTTCTGTCCTTCTCTAAAAATGCTTCACTGCGCAAGCGCGGGCGAGTGACTGAAGGGGGCAGAAGAGGACAGATATACGGTTTCGGTTGTCTTTCTCTTTCTATGCAGCGGACGCTTAGGTACAGTCCTTCCCCACTCTATTTATAATAACTCTATGGTTAGCACCCGGTGTCAACAGTGGTGCTCAACTAGTTTAAAATGTAAATTGTGAAATTGCAAACATGTGAATAGGGCTTTAGTTGGAAAATTGTCGTTCTGACCACTGTTCGCTTTGTTCTAACGGAAATTACTTGGCAACAGGTCCCGACTGCGAACTGAATAATACTCCATGCTGATTTCATGCGTTGCACGTGTCGGGAGAACAGTATTTTTATTTTATTTTATAATTTTAAAAAATGTGTGAAAATAGTGAAAAAACGATTATCACCGGTTATTTGGATGAGGATGGGGAGTTGGTTGTACATCCTGAAAGTAATAAAGTACTCTACTGGGTAGAGCAAAACGGTAAGTACTTTTTTAAAATATGAAAATAATAATAATATAAAATAATTATACGAAATTGTAGTCAATTTGAGTTTTAATTATTCCCAACGTTAATTGATTTATAAGTCAATTAACACACATTCTAATTAATTAAATATTCAATTATTCCAAATTGTAATAAATTAAAAATTGATTTTTTCAAACTTTAAACAATTAAAAATTTCAATTCTGCAAATTTAAATAAATTAAATGAAACTATAATTATTCCACATTTTAATTAATTAATAATTCAATTGTTTCAAATTACAATAAATTGAAATTTAATTATTTCTAATTTTAGACAATTTAAAATCCAATTTCAGATTTCAATCAAATAATAGTTTTAAATAAATTTTCAAAATTTAGTTTTGAGTTAAACTTGTTTCCAAGAATTTTTCAGAGATATTTTCTAATTCTTCTATTTCCGCAACAACTTCAAATTAATTCGATACAAATTCCGATAAATCTTAAATATTAATTAATCAATCAAAACATTCACATATTAGATTTTTTAATCGACGCTAAATTTAATTCGTCACTTAAATTTTAAACTGTTAAAATTTTAATCAACCTGTAATTTAATCGGTCGAAACTTCAATCAACATTAATTTTAATCAAAACACAAATTGAATAATATTTTAATCTACTTTGAAATTAATTCATCTAAAGTTTATACTATATATCTTTCAATTTATCCAAATGTTAATCAAATTTAATTCCCATTAATTCACATTATAATTGTTAAAAATTGAAATCGATTTTAATTTTTATTAGACTACAATTTTATTTGGAAGAAGTAAATTTGGTCGATTAAAGTTTTAATTAATGATTGTTTTGATTAATGAATATTGGATTTTATTGAATTTCGTATCGAATAAATTTAAAGTTGATTGTAATTAGAAAAAAATATAAAATATGTAAAAAAATGTTTTTTTATAGGATTGGAAAAGTTGAAATATTTAGCCGATGAGGAATTGGACCAATTACTTGATACGACAACGCCGACTGAAGAAGACGTATCAACAAGATGTGGTACTTGAAAAAATTATTTCTAAAAGATAATAATTATTATTTGCAAAAAGCAGGTTTGCAATCGTTAAAATCACCTTGATTTAAATGACAATTCTCAAAAATTTAAATATTGTAAAAAATTTTCAAAAAATCCACGATAATTTAAACATAAAAATATTACCAGTAACTCCTTCAAAATTCAATTATTTTAAAAATATTTACCTACAGTTTTTTGTCAAATTAATTACTTTCAATAATGTTAATGAAGAATTTTAAAAATTAAATTATGAAAAAATTAAATTAAAAATTCTCTAAAATGTACTTGAAAATTTTCTATTTTCCAGTTGCAAACATTTTTTTATGGATATTTTAGAGAATTGAGAGATAAAAATTAAATAAAATATGTGTTTTCAAGAATTTGCCAAAATTAAAAAAAATGAACATCGACTCCGTTGGAGATTCATACTCATGTGAAATTCTTAAAAAAATATATTTTTTATAATTTTTATCTTTCAATCGTCAAAAATGTCCATAATAAACTGTTTGAAATCAGAAAAGTTGAAGTTGAGTTGAAGTTTAGCATTTTTCTTTTGCATAAGTTTGAAGAAAATTTAAGGGGAGGGGGGTGTATTGAGTTACTTAGAGTTTTATAGATTTCAAATAGGAATTTCTTAAAGGAATTAAGAGAAATTTTAAAAACTATTGAGACCATTCGAAAGTATATTAAATTCGTCTTTTGTAAGTGGAACGGTTTGGGATTGAATGCCCCAATATTAACTTGAGAACAATTATCTTCATAAAATAGGTCAATTTCTGTAGTCATTTGAAGATTTATTTGTGCTTGACATAAATTTAAATTTGACTAAAGAAAATAATCCGGGAAAAATTTAGAAATTACCGGGAATTTTGACGAATGAAAGTAGTAGACACTCTGATTTTATTAACGAATTAAATCAGTTAACTATTTTTGAAAAATATTTTCTTTACTGGTGATTTGTTTTTTTTTTAAATATGTACTTTTCATTAATTGCTTATGTTTTTAAATGTTACAAAAAGAAAATTCAAATCCAAGCCCGCCGATCGTGAAGGGAGGAAAGTCAACAGAAAAATCAACAGCAGGGCTGTCAACCGAAACTGGTACTAAAAATCATTTTTTAAAATAAAAATTTAAATTAAAATTTACAAAAAAAAGGTTCGTTGCATTTTTAAAAACTTATTATTTTTCCAGTGCTTCTAATAAAATTCATAGACTTTGTAATTTAAAATCTCCTCAAATTCAATTATTTTTAACAATATAAACAGTAAATGTTCCCAAATTCAATTACTTTTAAGAATCTAAACAGAAAATCTTCCAAAATTAATTTATTTTGAAAAACTTTTTCCATAATTTCCTAAGAATTAGCTGTTTCTAAAACATCTTAACTTCGGACCTTCTAAATTTCAATTATTTAAAATATTTTTTCATTAAATATTCTTTAAAATTCAACTACTGTGAAAGTCGCAATAGTCTTCATTAAATCAAATTTACAAAAATTTTAAGTTTAAATCTCTTGAAATTGAATTATTTAATTATTATTTAATTATTTTATTATTATTATTATTTATTATTAACTGTAGTTCTTTCAAAATTCAATTGTTTTTTACATTTTCAACAAGAACTATTCTAAATGAATTATTTTCAATAATTACAATAAGTTCTTTGAAAATTCGCTTTTTCAAGAAATTCGATATCAGAATCAGAAGTCATCTTTATTTTTTTTCAATATCAGAATCAAAACTCAACTTATCCAAATTACTTTTGATTTTGATATTTATTGTCTGGGAAGAGTGACGGAAAATAGTTTTTAGAAGGGACGGGTAAATTCCCGTAATCACCTACCATCAGAAACATATATATTTCTGACGTCCGAAAATTAAATTCTTCTTTTGCTTCTGTTACTTAACCGAATCAAAATTAAATTCTGCTTTCGTTTCTGTTACTTGACCGAGTCAAAATTAGATTTTACATTCGTTTCTGTTAGTTAACCGAATCAAAATTAAATTCTGCTTTCGTTTCTGTTACTTGACCGAGTCAAAATTAGATTTTAGTTTCGTTTCTGTTAGTTAACCGAATCAAAATACATTCGACATTTTGTTCTGTTTGCAGTTATTGAAACCAAATCAAAATTCGACTTTCCTGATGATCCCTGATACGGTTGCTACCCAGAATTCGTTTTTGATTTTCCTCCGTTTCCTTCATTTTCAGATGAAATTTTGTCTTTTTTCTTAACCCAAATACAAAAGTTTAACAATGTTTTCAATTATAAAAAAAAATTGAACGAGAATTTTTAAAAGTCACATTTTGAATTAAAATTATCAAAAAACAAGATTGTGTTTGTGGCATTTTTGAATATTTTATATTTTTCTAATAGTTATAATAATAATAATAATAATAATAATAATAATAATAATAATAATAATAATAATAATAATAATAATGATAATAATAATAATAATAATAATAATAATAAAATAAACAAATAATAATAATAATAAAATAAACAAATAAATAAAGTTTCTTGCCTTTTACTCAGTTCGTAGAGTTTCCGGGTCATGGGAAGACAAAGAAGCAGAAGTCTTAATTCAATGTTATGTTGAAGTAGAAGAGGCCTCCAAACATGAAGAAATTGGATCTCCTGGGTTTTGGAAAAAAATTAGCGGTTTATTGGTTACAAAAAAATTGAAAAAAACATGGATCGAATGTCGCGAAAAATTTAAGTCCTTAGAAAGGACTTATAAAAATAATCTACTTAAAAAAACCATACAGGAGAAAGTCTTATTACATGGCCCTTATTTGATATAATGCACGATGCAATGTTCAAAAAGCCGCAAATTCAACCTGTGGCCATTGCTTCCAGCATTGCTGGATATAAGAAAAGAATTTCGGACAATATTGAAAATCAGCAAAAAAATAGCGAAGAACAAATCCCCAAAAAAGCTAAAACTAATAGACAATCACCAAAGCAGGAACCAGAATTTATCAAAGAAGCGAGGGCAGAAACTGCCGCTCGCCATGAAGAGAGAAAACAACAGCATCATGAAAATCTTCAAAGGAAGGATGAGATGATTGGACTTATGCGCAAATATTTTGAATTAAAAGAAAGGGAATGCAGACAGAAGGAGAAGTAAATACGGTCTGTACGATGTTGTTCTCAATTCGGTTTTATCATATCGTTTTTTATGTGAATTTTATTAATCGTTTTTTTATTATGTATTAAGTGCCATTTTTTATATTCAAAGCGTTAAAGACAGTTTAATAATAATAATATATCAAAAAGATCTCGAAGTAGATTTAAGAAGATGAGAACAAAGTTCCTAAAAGTTACAATAACTGTTCTTATTTCTTTACGTATGTTACAGTATTGCACAATATATGCTGTGATTTTAGAATATTTTACTTTATAACAAAAAATGTGTTTTTTAAGAGTGCAAAGATTATAGGTATAAAAAAATTGTTAGAAATAGTTTTTAATTTCATATATTAATCACATTTACAAACGTTAAACAAATACAATTTGTTTAAAGTAATTGTTAAAAAGAAATCTGCGTTTGTTTCCTTGTAAACTTGTAGAATAATTTAATACGTTTGTTTAAAATAGTACATTTTGTACCAAAGAAAGGTTTTTCTTTTAAAACTGCTAATTTTTTCGAAAGAATACGTTAAAAGTAATTAGCGGACAATAATAAAATAGATTTAAAAAAGTAAGAATAAATTTTACAATTGAGGGACTGATAGTAAAAGTGGTTCAAAAAAATAATGGGAGCAAAAACGAAATAGAATGATTCGTGTAATTAATTGATAAATTCATTATATTGTCGATTAAAAATTATTAATTATAATAAAATAAGCCTTTTTTACTATTGTTTAATATTTTTTAATCGATATTACAATAAATTTACCAATAAATTGAACGAATGAATCATTTTAAACCGTTTTTGTTGCCATTGTTTTTTAAACCACTTTTACTATCAGCCCCTCAATTATTGTTCTACAAAATTCTGTATTTTTATTATTGTTAATGTTGCAGTATTTTAAAATGAGCGAAAAATAGTGTTTACCACGAAGGAATGAATTAAGGGGTTTTTCATTCCATTCTGATAATAATTTATTTGGATTAAGATAAAGTTACTTTTGTATTTCTAACATTAAACGAATGTGATATGATGTCGAGATTATTGAGATAATTTAGTATCTTCTTTTAAGGTTTATATTAAAAAATGATTTATAACAATAAAGCAGTGTATTTATTTTAATTTCAATTTTGTTATTAACTAACTACATCAGGCGCCATTCCAAATTTAAATAACTTTAAAATTTAATTTACTTATTATTTCAATTTCGGTAGAATGAAACTTAGAATTATTATAAATTTGAATTCTCGAATATGTTTTTTACATATTTTACACAAAAATTGAATTTTAGAAAATTTTTAAATTCTAAATTTCTAAAAGAAATATGTTTTCGAATAACTTATTGCAATTATTGAAAATAATTAATTTGGTATTTTTTTTTTAAATTAAACAAATAATTTAATTCTAGAAAAGCTACAGTTCAGATTTTATTAAATCATTGAACTTTAAGGGATTTAAACTTGAGATTTTTGGAAATTTGAACTGCTGAAAACTTTTCACAAAATTTTCACAATACTAGAATTTTAAAACAATTTTAATTGGAAAATGTTTTAAATAATTGAATTTTGGAAGAGCTGAAGTTAAGATTCTTAAAAACAATTCAGAAGATCTTAGTTAAAACTTTTTAAAATAACTGAATTTTGGAATATTTGCAGTTTAGATAGTTAAAAATAATTGAATTTTTGAAGATTTGCAATTTATATTGTTAAAAATAATTGAATTTTAGAGGCTTGTAAAATAAAAAGTCAAGCATTTTTATCAAAATTATTAGAAATATATTAGGTTTTTAAAAATGTAACAAAAATTTTGTTTTTAGAAAATTTTAATTCAAATTTTTACTTTTTGAAATTGCCTTATTTCTTAAAATTGAAAATCTCTTGAAATATTTCCATTTGGGTCAAGAAAAAACAAAATCAAATATTGATGGCAACCCTAAAAAAGGAGATTTGGTTTTTAAAAAAGAAAAAAGAAATTTAAATAAATTAACCCCCTTTTAAAATTAAGCAAATTTGCTTAATTTACCATTGACCATTCAAATTTCAATTTTTCATTGATCCATCGAAATTTATATTTTTTATGAGTGTTTTTCCGAATATATTGAGGATTTCAAATTATGCTACGCAATAAAAAATATTTGATTAATATATTTTTTAATAGAACTCGAAGTTTTAAAAAAAAATAAAAATTTGAACATCCCTCATAATTTAAATTATTTTTCATCGTCATTTTTTTTTACTTTTATGTTTTCTTCATTATTCTGAACAATTAATAATATGGATTTTGAGAATTTCAATTTTTAAGCAATACTAAAATTGTCATAAATATTTTTAACCAATTTTAATAGTTTTTAATAATTTAATAATTTAATCTTAGCTAATAAATAATGCCAGAAAAAAATTAGCGCATGCTAATTTGTTTTCTTCTTTATTTTTTTTAAAGAAATTTCAAAAAATAAAAAACTTTAGTAACCTTTTTTTAAAAATTAAGTCTTATTATCCAGTTTTAACTCGATTGATCACTTTCTTTATTACTTTATTATCTTTTCTGAGGGAATTTCGTCAAAAATGGGTAAATGAATAATTGTATAGAGAATGGATAAATAATATTTGAGACCGGGAAAAGTCGTGGAATTTTGTTCCAAGAAAAACGTAGCAACCCTGATTAAGATAGATACTATTATGGAAGAAGGGTACTGAAAACACTTTTCTTAAAAATATATGTCCATTAATTACATTATTTTCTACTTAAATCTCGGAATATTTAAGCCTTGCGAAAAACGTGTAAAATATTGGAAGGTACTTCATTTTTAAACCAAAATTAGGAGGGATCAGATAAATTTTAACTCATCAAAATTTATGTTGTTTAGAGATATTAATTTTCTTCCGATAATATTAAGAATTTCAAATTATGTTACATAATGAAAAATCTAAAAAAAAAATTAATAAATTTTGTTATAGAACTCGAAGTCATTGGTAAATTAAAATTTTAACTTCTCTCATAATTTATATTTTTTTTCATCGATCCTAATTTTAAAATCTTCAGAAAAAGATTTTTAAAATGATCTATATCTCATTATTCAAATTCTATGATTCTGAGCAATCGATTAGGGCGCACTCACACCTTTTGGCTGCCTGCAGATTACCATGGCAACGCATGAGAGTGAGTGCGACAGAAAATTTAAAAATTTGAATATTCAAATTTTCTGTCTCACTCACACTCGTGCGTTGCCATGGTAACCTGCAGGCAGGCAGGCAGCCAAAAAAGGTGTGAGTGCGCCATAACATGAGGTAAGACCACTCAGCGGCGCCACTTTCGAAAATTTGAAAATACTTATTGCCATATTTTTTTTGCTTTTTTTTGTTATCAAATGAGATATGAATCGAATTTCCACATGCAACCCTTCACAAAAATCAACCCTTAAAAAAATTTTTTTTTTCAAATTAGTTTCTTGATCCTTGCAGTATTGTTTAACAAGACCTATACTGTCACCCCTTGAAGTTTGGATTTTTTTGCTCTTCAAATTATTGTTTAACAAGACATATACTTTCACCCTATGATGTCTGATTTTTTGCTCTTCGAATTATTGTTTAACAAGACTTATGCTGTCACCCTATCAACTCTGGATTATTTTGCTCTTCGAAATATTGTTTAACAAGACATATTCTTCCACCTTACACCCTATGAAGTCTGGATTTTTTTGCTATTCGAATTATTGTTTAACAAGACATATACATTTATTTATGTAAAATTTCTACTAATTAATATAAAATTTTTTGTATTTTTAATTTAAAGATTACTATGATCGTTTCAAATAGACTGTCGCATAACAAAAGTTTGGATTTTTTGCTATTTTGCTTATATATTATTCGCTATAAAGTATCTTTAGAGTTGAGAGCAAGTCTCACTCGGCATGATAGGCCGTTAAGTTACTGACAAGTGACTGAACAGTTTTTCTGGTCATGATTTCTGATCATTATTTTTGACAAGTCACTAGTCAGAAATTCTGGTCACAATCGGAATAAGCACTTCAGTTCTTAAACCGGTAGTTATGATAAATTACCATCTAGTCACCGTGGCTGCGTGGAAATTCACATGCGTAGTGTCTCCAGGGTCCAGAGTTCGATTCCACATGAGTTCGAATTTTTCATTTTTAGATTTAAGTGTTATTGGCAGAGTAAATTGTCCATTAGACTTAAATATTTAAATAAACATAAAAATATAAATAAATAAGTGTAAATAAAATAATAAACGCGAGGAAATATGATATTTTATTCTAGATTATGACCAGAAAACTGTCCAGTTACTGGCGAGATACTTATCAGATACTTTCCAGTCACTGGGCAAATAATCTGACCAGTGACTGCAAATCGAGCGCGTTACATTTTTAACCAGCCACTTGTCAGACATCCTGGCCAGTTACTGTACAGTACCTAGAAAAACTTTCCAGTGACTGGTCAGTACTGAGTTGAAATTTCTACCTGGGCCTAGGTGGAAATTTGACGAGTATTACTTGTTTCTTTCCAGTATTTGTGGAGTGGAAAGCAAGTTTATTTTGACAAGATAATCTAACCAGTCCTGAATAAGTGACTGGACAGAAAGAATCTCCCTTTCTGATTAGTACTTCTGTCAAGTCACTAACCAGAATATCTGATCATAATCGTAATAAAAGTTTCTTTCCAGATACTGGCCAGTCAAGGATTTGAAAAATTATTCAAGATTCCACTTAGAAAAACTGGTCCACCACTCATCAGAAAAACTTGTCAAATCCTATCAAAAGAATTATTACAGATTTTTTAAAGATTTGACCAGAAAATCTTGACTGAATTAAAAGAAAAGTCTGCGTACACAGACTGTCCCTTAAAAATACTCTTTAAGTCAATCACTTACAGTGACTTCTAAAATAAGTCTTTTTAAAGTATTCATAATGTTCAAATAACATGCTTTCCAAAATATGATTTTCTACTATTCAA